AGCAAAAAACCTAATTCGTATTAGAACCTTGCATAGCATGCACAACGGTGATCGAGAACCAATTGACGGTCGTTATAGCTGGAAATCATGCCACACGGACGTCAGATATGAACGACTCGACAATATTCTATTGACCTTGAACGTCGCATGGCCAGTGGAATGGTAACGTTTGCATGACACTGTTATGGCGTCATGGATGCCTGGGTAACCTTGAAGTAGTCTGCACGTCTCCGCGGGTTGTAGTTCAGAGACTAGAGAGTTTAGGTCTTAAGAGGGGCAGGACTGTAAACCGCACCGAATGATCTTCAAGACGGTCACTCAAGTTTAAAGTTGCATACAAATGTGGAACAATCCCTTAAAATCGAAAGCCACACGAGATTTCCGCGCGTTCACCACCACCATCGCCGTCGTCAAAATACAACTTCCAGTGCAGGGGCGTAGTTTCATCACATGAATCGGGAGGGGACTGAACAATGAAAAATGGCTCCCTATTACCTGGCCACCGAAAATGAGCGAAAATAACCAGCATGGACACTTATACCAAATTGGCTGAACCACGACCAAAATGAACCATTCATCATCGACTCGATAATTGCTACCAACATCGACGTTTTCACCACCAGTTTAAAGAGATCGAAAATCGTAATGCCTTCTTAAGCCACCAAATACGCGAAAGAAATGCCCAGAGAGAATAGTATCCACCAGGCTGGCAGAGGTGCCGGCAAATAGGTGAAGCAAATTACCAAGATATAGTACGAAATCGGATATTTGTACCAGAATCATTGATATTCAGCCCACCAGGAAAAAACAACTGTATTTTTAACCAAACTGGCATCAACTTGCGAATGTTTTGGGAGGCAGATGCTATTATTCATGTTAGAGTTGCGTCTGGAGAGTGAGTGTAGATCATTGGTCATTGGAGTTGTAGGTCACTGGAGTTGCATTCTGTCATTACTCAAATTGGAGTTGCGTTTTGAAAGCGAGTCGCTGACTAGCATTGGGTTTTATACATTAAGACTTTAACTTTACATAACATACATAACTTTAAGACACATGCTTTGATAAAAGCAAAGCTAATACGACATCACAATTTAAATTGCTGTACGAGTACAAGTGCGCACGAGTGCTGGAATATTTAACAGAGCTGCCATATATTTGACAGCACCGCCAAACTACAAGTATTTCGGTTAAACTCAATTCATATTGTATTCTTGCATGCCTCGTAATAAGAACATTTGACATTTTTCACTTTCCATTTGAGTTGGCTCATCGGCGAGGCTAGGCAAATTGGTTTTGAACTTGAACCCTACGTCGGCTGATTAAGATTCCGGTGCCACCTCCATCCCCACGTGCAGTCAAGCACGAGTCTGTCGCCCAGGATGAGGTCGGTCGCAACAAACATCAAACAGGGCCAGCCAACCAGGAAGTCAGCGGAGTGCGCGGCAATAATCCGCTTCCCAGGCAGTGTCCAAGGCGGGGTAGTCCGTGCCAACAGGCCCATATGCATGCTGAGAAAGTTCCTATTCAAATTTCACGCTGCTGCCCCCGGGAACCGGGAAAACTACCGTTCTCACGGGTCGGCGCAAATATCCCTGCGAGAATTCATCTTCCGGTGGTCGAGCGCAGTAACCGGCATAGCCAGCACCACCAACCAGCTCCGCCGGGCCGATCCACGGCCCTGGAGGTAATCTGACCAGATCATCCCAGCGAACGAAGGCCGGCTGTACGTGCGGAATCCGGGCCGGGATTCCAGCCAGCGACACTGGCAGCGCCGCGGCCGGGCCGGAGCGACGCCGCGCCTGCTCCCGTGGGAGCCTCCCACGCGCGTCACGCGCATCTCGGCGCGCCATCCGGGACGCCGTCACGGCGGCGTGTGCGCCAGTGACGGACACCACCATAAACCATGGCGGCGGCGCGAGCCGCGTGCGGTCTGCGGACGCCACCGCACGGCGGCGCGGCCCGGCCGCAAGCCGACTGGGTGACGCTCGCACCGCTATTTACTACTCGGCACCCAAATTACCTAGTTTGGTCACGCATTTTCACAAAGGTTTCGTGGCTCTCCGTCACGCCCCTCAGTTCAGAGCGGTACTGAGCTACCGCAGGCCCCCTCAGCTGCCCAGAGCGACACCATGACGTTGTCATAGCAGAGGGAAAATTTCGCCGGCAGAATGGCTTGTCACACATTCTTGCCCGCGAGCTGCGCGTCTCTTCAGCACGCTGCCGACCCCTAGACGTGAGCATGGGCGCGGTGCGTACTCAAGTCCTTGGTTTGGTTATTCCAAACTAGGTCCTTCTGAGCGAACAACACCCGCGATGACTGCGAACCCGGCTAAACAATGTTCGCAGTTCTTGCTGAATGAGTCGAAGGTGCAAAGTCCAGTTTAGACTGAAAGGGCACACGGAGGCAAGGGCAACAGCTGCTGTTTGAAAGGACGATGTGATGATTCAACAAATGGTGGCCCGGTGCCAGCCGTCTGCGGTGATCATCACAACACCCGCGTCCGAGCCCAGCCCAGCCCTGAGCACGGCCATGAGTGTGGAGAGGTGGAAATCGGATGGTATGACTGAGCCCATTACGATGATTCCGCGAAATAAGGCTAACTGGCTAGAACGATTCTGCTGCAGGCGAGGAGCACTTGCCCACGATTACAACTTCAGAAAGAGCGTGTCCGTGCCATATGTACCCCATGTGAATACATACACGGGCCTGATGGCCATGCGTAAAAAGTGCCCGATGAAGCGAGTCCCCTTTCCAGCAGCTGGCATCAACACCCGGAGAATCGTGGCGAGTACCCATTAGCCTGGCAAATGTCAGGCATTCAAGCTGCTTGACTCACAGCGGACAGTGGTGGTTAGAAGCTGGCGCCGACACTCCGCAAATAAGATAGTACACTATATCGGCATGCACAGAGGATAGCAGAACTGTGGACCAACGACGGCATTTGATAACGAGGCTGCTGCCTGGCGTGATCGGGGCTGCAGCCTTGATCTGACGCAATCACGGACGTCACCAGGTCTGAATCGTCTAGGCTTCGCAGTTGGCCGAGCCTTTTGCACGGGTCTGTACAAAACCAGGAGAGTTTCGGGGAAAACCCTGCCATGTCTTGCATTAGAACGAGGAAAGGAACCGGGAAAACACTATATAGTATCGAGTGCATGATGATTTGGGGAGGAAGAATGCGAGGCGCAAATTTTTTTTCCGAGGACTGGGTGAGGCTCCGCTTATTGAGGGAAACACGAATGAGTCCGCTTCGTTCTGAACAAGCCCAGGGGAAACCTAAAAAAGAAGTCTACGCGGGGCCTGTGTCAGTCGATAGACATAAGCCTGTAAGCCGACAGAGCCGGCGATCACTGCAGGCGCGAGCAGCTGCAGTCATTCCGTGCCAACGGCTTGGTGGCTGACTGGCAACCCCAACAGCCCCATCGGCCGCAGCCGGCCAGCAGCAGCGGGCTGGTGGCAGCCCTAGCAGCCCCATCGGCCGTAGCCAGCCCAGCACCAGCGGGCTGGTGGCAGCCCCAGCAGCCCCATCGGCCGTAGCCAGCCAGCAGCAGCGGGCTGGTGGCGGCCCGAGCAGCCCCAACCGTCCGTCACGAGGCTGATACCGGTGCAGCAGCGGTGACGGCGGTGAGCGGTGACGCGACGCAGGGCGGAGCACGACCGGCGGCCGCTGCTGACAGGGCGGCGGACCCCGTGACCGGCCGTCCCAGTCCCAGAGCGGCCGGTGCGGCCGTCAGCGGCGGCCCCGTGACCGGCCGTCCCAGTCCCAGAGCGGCAGCCGTCAGCGGCGGCCACCGTGACCAGCCGTCCCAGTCCCGGAACGGCCGGTGCGGCCGTCAGCGGCGGCCCCCGTGACCGGCCGTCCCAGTCCCAGAGCGGCCGGTGCGGCCGTCAGCGGCGGCTGTCACCCGCCGTCTTTGCTTCAGCAGGCATAGCCGCCACCTGCCACCACCGTCACTCATCATTGTTCCGATACCAGGCTCGCGTACTCCTCGGACTGGTGACAGACAACGCACAATAGACGGCCAGTACCGACGACGGCACCCAAGAGCGCCGTGACCTCCCAGCCCCCTCCCCCCAGTTGTCCGTGTTCATCACATCGGCGCAGGAGACGACCTCATGGGACTGCCGCCTGGGACGAACACTGTTGGCGACCACCCAGTCATCTGCTGTCCAACAGCGACCAACGACCTCATGGGACTGCCGCCTGGGACGGACACCCCTGACTACCACCCAGTCATCTGCTGTCCAACAGCAACCAAAGGGAGATCAGGCGGCAGAGGCGTCACCAAGAGAAGATGTCCTGGGATGCAGTCGATGAGCTGAAGACAGAGGCCAGCCGGTGTTTTGGACGGGACCGATGGTTTGGGACCAAACAGCGGGACCTAACGATGGAAGCTGCCGCCAGGGAGAGGCACACAAGACTTCATCAGGCGCTCCTGTCCTTCACCCCACCCCGTCCTACGTACAGACGAACAAGAACCGGAATACCTGATTTGAGAGAGCCAAAGTAAGAGAACCAAAAGAGACCAGTATCCAACGTTATTTTGTGAAAAAAATCGATAGAAACCAAAATACAGGAAACAGATTTCACCGACGAACCCGGAGGCAGGAGTGAAACGGACATTCCGAGGAATGCACATGGCCATCAGCCAGCACAATGCATTTGTTCATAACCAATAATCTTCAGAATGTCGATAAAGCACACTCCTCTGGGGCTTACGCTCTGCGTTAGTGCTGGTATTCCTAAAACATGAATTGTAAGCATAAGTCGGCAGAACTGAAGAACTTTAAATAATTGAAAACAAACAGTTCTTCAACCGTCGCCAGCGAGCTTTCCCAAAGCGTGGAGAAGAAGCTTGACCCTATACGCGGCCTGTCACCATACCGAGAGCCAGAGCGCCTAAATGCCGAGAAGCAAGCCAAGCCCCGTTACCACGGTGAGCTTCCTGCCCTGTCACCGAACTCTTCCCGTGCCTCGGACGCGTCCATGCATCAGTACCATTGTACTCACGTCCCCCTGCCAGGGCTCGGCGTCCAGGATCTGCGCCTGCTTCACCTGGATCACCTCCTCAACCACCGTGTCCGACTGAAATGAGAGGGGTGCCGCAGGTCAGACTCTCTGGAGACCCGAGGTCGAAGGTCAGAGGTCGGTTCAGACGCGATACCATAACAACAGCAAGCACGGCACACGTGACCCGGCACTCCTCCCTTGACCAACTCTCGGCCGGCGCTTCTCCCGTGGCCAACCCTCGGCCGACGCTTCTCCCGTGATCAACCCCCGGCCGGTGCTTCTCCTATGACCAACCCCCGGCCGGCACTCCTCCCATGACCAACCCTCGGCCGGTGCTTCTCCTATGACCAACCCTCGGCCGGTGCTTCTCCTATGACCAACCCTCGGCCGGTGCTTCTCCCATGACCAACCCTCGGCCGGCGCTTCTCCCACGACCAACCCTCGGCCGACACTCCTCCCATGACCAACCCTCGGCCGGCACTCCTCCCATGACCAACCCTCGGCCGGCGCGTCTCCCACGACCAACCCTCGGCCGGCACTCCTCCCATGACCAACCCTCGGCCGGCACTCCCTCCCATGACCAACCCTGGGCCGACGCTCCTCCCATGACCAACCCTCGGCCGACGCTCCTCCCATGACCAACCCTCGGCCGGCACTTCTCCCATGACCAACCCTTGGCCGACGCTCCTCCCATGACCAACCCTCGGCCGGCACTCCTCCCATGACCAACCCTCGGCCGGCACTCCTCCCATGACCAACCCTTGGCCGACGCTCCTCCCATGACCAACCCTCGGCCGACGCTCCTCCCATGACCAACCCTCGGCCGGCACTCCTCCCATGACCAACCCTCGGCCGGCACTTCTCCCATGACCAACCCTTGGCCGACGCTCCTCCCATGACCAACCCTCGGCCGACGCTCCTCCCATGACCAACCCCGGCGACGCTCCTCCATGACCAACCTGGCCGGCACTCCTCCCATGACCAACCCTAGGCCGACGCTCCTCCCATGACCAACCCTCGGCCGACGCTCCTCCCATGACCAACCCTCGGCCGGCACTGCTCCCATGACCAACCCTCGGCCGACGCTTCTCCCATGACCAACCCTCGGCCGGTGCTTCTCCCACGACCAACCCTCGGCCGACACTCCTCCCATGACCAACCCTCGACCGCTCCGCTCCTAGAGGCGGATCCATAGGGGAAGGGGGGGGGGGGGGGGGGCGTTGGGCAATGGTTCCCCTACGGCCCCGAAGTGGCCAATAACCGATCGAACAGACGTAGTTTTTTTTACACAAAACGCAACAAAACTAGACGTCTTTGAGCTTCCGGGCGACAAAGAACACTCACAAGCGAGAGCGAAAAACCCACGAGTAGACACAAATCATTCTTCGCTAGTTGAGACGGTGGTGTTCGGGCCACTCGGCGATTCAGTGCTCAGGGGTCCTCGTCATTGATCCAGGGCTCTTGCCCTTTGATCTCGTCTGCGGAGGACCCTTCGCTCATATCGGGGTCCTTTCTGTAAACCTGCCCGGACACCCTTGATCACACATGGGCACTAGTCAAGCGCACTGGTCTTGGATAACTCCCCTTTGCTCAGGGGGTCCTGTGCTCTGACCGGTGTCCCCTATGTCAGCCTACCGGGACACTCCCGATTGTTCAGGGGCCCGCCAAGTTGATCTCGGGTTCTTCTCGCTTGCTCTGAGGATCCTAAACTTGTTGGCGGAAGCCTCTTTGTTGGCCTGCCGCGGCACCCATGATCGTTCAGGTTCCGTCCGCATTGGCGTTTATTACTGAGCCTTCGAGCAGCAGTCGAACATGCGCTGACGAATTTTTGCGCGCACTTGTCGAACCTAGTTACGCGTGCCGCCGACGTGGCATGCCGTTTCCGTTGGTTATTTAATTTGTGACACTTATTATACTTGTGTACCACGTTCTTAATCATTTTAAACGCTGTGATATTTTGTTCTCATTCACAATAAAACAAAAACTCTGCATTAGTCCTCAGCCATCAGCTGATCACAGCGACCTGCCGGCTAGCTGTAAATAAGCCAGGAATCAAGTTCGTGGGTGACTTATATGACATTTAGCATCTGGCTTCAATTCATTTTGCCAGGTTTTTACCAAAAAACTTAGCATCAACATGACAGAATCCCAAATGATCTAAATAAAATGAACAAGCAACATGTACGTGCATACTTAGCACCCCTTGTTTTCTAGGGCTGAGCACAGTTAGATGCGCTTCAGCACTAAAAAATGTTATAATGGGAATCCTAAAACTTGATGGCCGGAATGTGAGGATTTTTTGGGGGAGGGGTCAACATGTTGCGTGTCCCCCCCCCCCACTTTTGACGAAATCCTGGATCCGCCCCCGGGCGCTTTTCCCATGACGATCCCCCGGCTCTTCGAAATCCCCAACATGGAACACAGGCAAATAACCAATAACGGGATCTGGACATTCGGCATAGCACACAAGCAACTTCACACATGTATTTGTATAGTCGTAACGGACTTATTTTGCAGCATGGGATACATAACCCTGTGGATTGTTTGCAACACGTACATTACAGTGTTCACGCCGTGCCAGGAATTCAAGCGAGCAGTCTCGAGCAAGGGCCACCACACCATGGCATCCTCCCTGGTCCCAGTGCGGCCCACAGCGCGACGAGCCGCCGTTTGAGCGTTGTCCTGCGCCGATACCATCTCGCGGCTCGCATGATCGCGACAGCCGACCAGGACTGGCCGACACGCCCCCCCCCCCCCTCCCATCCCGCACCGCCCCAGAGGGCGTGGCAGCAATTGCCAGGTCAATAGCGCGGCTGACGGCACGTCTGACTAGCAGGCGTGTGCAGACGGACGGCGCGGCAGCCACGCCCGGGCGGCTCTGAAGACCGGCGGCGACAGGCAGACCTATCGCCGGGCGGTGTGGGCCCGTAAACATGCGTCACGTCTCGTGATAGGGCGTTACGGGCCCACAAACAAACCAACTGCTCCATGCAGGGCGCTCAAGCCCCGGAGCGTTGCAGGCGTTTCGAGGCTTGATTTAGATACCCGAGCGCCGTCGTGAGGTCTTTCTTACGAGGCAAGTGTCATGCGTCATGTTTAAAATGCCCGACATTTGCAGCAAGTCAAGCAGTTGGCATGCGCTGCTACTCTGTTGGAATGTATTTTTTTGATGAGCTGCATTAGCACGTACCGCGGTCCGGCCCGGTATGAATCACCAATGCGTCACAAGCTGCGACGGCGCGTCTGGTAACAACACACGCGCCCCGGGGACCGCCAGACACGCGACACCGAAGGTAACCTGACACGGACCGGCGCCGCGGACCTCCGGCTGTCACGGCCCGCGCTCCAGCGCCACGGCACCGTCACGGCGTCTCGGCACGGTCCCGCCACCGCGTCACGGCACGGTCCCGTCACGGCAGGGAGCGCAGTCGGTCGAGCCGCCGACCGCCCCGCAGCGTCGCCCGCCCGCGCCCAGGCGCCCGTCTAAGGTCATGCATGGGCTGCGGCGGCCCTCAGCTGGCAGAGACGCCGGGCTGACGCCGGCGTTCCAGGCGGCGTGCCCGGCCCGGCCCGGCCTCTCGGGAACGATCAATGGCTGCTGAGGCGGCGGTCCGCACCCCTCGGGAACCGCACCCCGCGGCCGCCCCCATGTATCAGCGGCGCGCGTGGCCTTGGACGCGACGCGGCATACCGCGACCCGAACCGCCCAGACTGGTGGACGCGCTGGGAAGTGTGCTGTCGCAACCACAACACCAGTGCTGGACGGAAGCCGGCGGTCAAGACCCAGCGGCGGACTGGATGAACCGGAATCGATTGTTTCCTCTCCGTCCGGCATTGACAACAGCGCCGGGACGCGGCGGTCGCGGTACCGGAGACCAGCGTCCGGGGCGGCGGCACGCGGGCGGCAGCCGCGGCCACGGCCGTAACGTGACGGCCACGTGCGGGGGCAGTGACGTCACCGGGCGGCCGTGTGCTGGGAGCGGAGCAGCCGGCGCGGCGCGGCGCGGCCCCTCGCTGAAGTGACAGCGCAGGGTTGACCCGGGCGCGACCGTCTGTGGTGGGCGAGGTCCGGGAGGGAGGCGATGACCGCACCTCCGTTATGGTCCCGCGGCGTGGCCGGGGTTTACGCAGCTTAGAGGTGGTCGGTGGAACCGGCCCCCCGCGCTGCGTGCGTGCCCGCGTGGCCAACGCAAACCAGACCGATTTGATCCAGAGTCTGCTAAGAGTGCATCAGCCGGCCCCAAAACCGGCGGCGCAAAAATAGAGCGGCCGCGGCCGCCGCGCCGTGACGTCACTAACCTTGAACATGGCGGGCGGCTGGTGCGGCTGATCGGGCTGCGGGTCCCCTCCTGTCGTGAGGCCGCCGCCGCTGCGGCTGCGAGCCGGAGATCGATCCACACGCGGCGGCGTCTGGCGGCGGGGCGCCGTCTGAGGGCGAGCCGGCGGCCCGGTCCGGTCAGAGCGCGCCGCCGCTGGCGCCACCTGGCGGCCGTGCCGCCCCCTCCCGGTGGCCGCCGCGCCGCCCGAAATACGCCCGGCGGCGGTCAGCTACCCCGCGGGGAGGGGCAGTTACCGGCGCATCACAACTGACACCAATCGCGGCGACAAGGCAGCACAGTTGAAAACAACGACAGGAAAAAACGATGGTCAGTAGAGCGGCTTTCGTAAGGCGCACATCGTGGCAATAATAGCGAGCAATATAACGACGTTAATGACGGGGTATTTACTGCTACCTTCCTATGCATGGGTTATGACAGGTATAACGATCAAGACAAGAGCATAATATACTTGATTGCTTAATTCATACACTTGCGCATAGGCACAGAAACGTTCCAAAAAGTGTAGGAGGGGGGGGGGGGGGGCAGGTTCAGGGCATACTTCAGGAGCTACCACTCTGGAAGTAAGCCCGGTGACCGGAGGGGAGGACCGGAGGAGGAAGTATAGGTAGTGGTTATTATCCGCTATTAATTCACATAATACATTCCGGAAATAATAAACTATGTGCTAGACACACATATGCAGCTGCTTTCCGCTTGGGGACAATCTTGCCTGTTCGACTCATCTGTACCATTTGGTAAAGGTCATCCAGCCATCCATCTTCCAAGGCCATCCAGCTTCTCAAGATTATTCGTCCATTTTAACATTGTTTTCCCTCAGGAGGCGAAATTCCACGCACGGGTAGGCATTTTTGGGTTATTCCGGAAGTATCTGCCGCCACAGGGTAGATACAAAGTACGGCTAAGGCACAGGCTGGTCAGAACTTTGAAAGCATATCGATGGCCCATGGTGCGCCAGAATTTTCATGCGCCTAGATTTCGCCGACTGCTTTTCAAACGAAAAGATTGATCGCAGCATTAAAAGCGGAAACATGCTCGGATTACTTAAATACTAGCTGCCAAAAACGATGTGCCAAAAAACAAACAAACATGAAGCTGGAATTTGTTCCGTACAAAAACTAAGCCACAGCACAGAAGCCTTTTTGTCACGTATTCCTTATCCGAGCCCTGCCCCCGTCCGCCGTCGGTGCCCACTGTCCTGGCCCATCTCCCGCATGACTGACTGCGAACTGGTTGCATGACTGCGTTCCTGCGTGCTTATGGATCAGCATTTCTACTTATTGGTGCATAAAGCATTTATTGGACGCCTGCAACGGTACCTTTTTACATTATCTTCCTTTGCCTAACAACGCAGCAGAAAACAAGCTTTCGGAGACTTGCTTGCCCTAGGCCTGAATTTGCCCAACCAACATTCAAATGTCCCTCATTTAACGTAGACGACTGGATCTGTTTTTTATACAGGGAGAGGCGTAGCCCGAGTCTTGCCAAGAGACGCCGTTCATCTATGAATATATATATATATATATATATATATATATATATATATATATATTGGGAGCATGTTTCCCCTTATACATTGCCACTTGCTTACCGCAGCAAATTTCGCGTTCATGACATTCTAGGTCGTTTGAGTATTTTGATCTACTAAAATACTGTTACCCCATCTTGGAAAGCCGATGAGAAAGAATTGCACGGCATTATCTTCAAACGCTGCCGCAACTTATCAACAAAAAACGAAGATATGCCATGTGCTACAAAGGTAAAATAACACTTTTCCTGGTGATCAGTTGGGGCGCAGTGTTTGAAGATAATGTCACGCGATACTTTCTCGTCAGTTTTCCAAGATGGGATTATGGTATTTTAGTGAAAATTTTCATTGCTCCATAGCGATCATGAGTGGCATTATTTTGTTTGTCTTTTTTAGAAAGTGATCGAATAAGGACTTCGTGACATTGTCACATTCAGTCTTTGTGTACCCATGTTTGATGAGCATTTGAAACAGCCGGCCCGGCATCCTATTAAAAGTGTTCCATGATTTAAAAAAAATAAAAAAAGGATTTTTGAAGCTGTAAACAACCCAGATAATCCCTCCTTCACATATCTACCCCGGTTGGTGACTTTTCCGTAAGCATCTGTCTGAAATGCACTATTTGGTGAGTAAATCAGGTCTGGAAATGGCAGGTTGTTGTTTACACCAAGTCTGAATGGTAAATTCAAGCCTGACTCATCCTGCAATTTTTCACAAGGAGATTGGAGCTGATCAACGCTAAAACATCCATAAAACATTATTGATATAGCGGAAATGCATTTTAGGCTTCGTGCCCGGGAAATTCGGCACCTGCTTTTCTCAATTACACATACATGCTTGCGCGAACAGGACACCCAGAGCGGAGTCCATCGCAGCACAGTATATTTGCGAGTATAGGTTGCCTAAGCTGCCAGAGGATTGATTTTTGTTACAAACATTCCATGACCGTAACTTGTAAAGCCAATGAGAAAGCATTACGTGACATTTCCCTCAAACACTGCACCCCTCTGATCAGCACAACAACAACTAAGAGTTGGTTTATATGGCAAAAGTCCAAAAACATCGTCCCTGGTGGGGAAAACAATTTGAACCACAGCAGGGATCAATTTGATCAAGCCAGTAAAGAAAACTGTTTCCAATGAGAAGAAAACTTGATTGGCCTGACCGCAGCAAGTCCCAGCCGGCGTTTACCCATGCGCTTGGGGGCGGGGGCAGTGCATATGCACTTACACCTGGGCAAAACAAATGCACGTATACACCACAACACTTCACTCACCAGAAATACGTTAGTCATGAACACTACCGCACTTGCGCAAGCCACAGAACATAGTCGCCTCACCACACTTGAAACATGATGTGTGAGAGACATGGCACCCATCATCAACATACAAAACAAACAACTCACACAGCTACCACTCCACGACGTGCGACTGACAAGGCGAACCCGCTCCCCGTAAAGCAAACCAACCAGACCAGCGGCCTTTTAATTTGATTCGTAAACATGTAAAATTTTAAACCATCAAAAGCATGTCTAGAAAAAGCATGCAGCATGCCAATGCTATTTTTCAAGTGCCTCGACCAGGGAAATTGGAAACATTCTGTATCGGTGCACCTAAAACGACAAACGTACAATATGAAGCCTTGAACAAACAACCAGGGTCATCAACGCGGAATCAACAATGTAGAAGAGAAAACTTGCTCGCGAAATGCTCATCTCTCTCTCTCTCTCTCTCTCTCTCTCTCTCTCTCTCTCTCTCTCTCTCTCTCTCTCTCTCTCTCTCTCTCTCTCTCTCTCTCTCTCTAATCTCTCTCTCTCTCTCTATCTCCTCTCTCTCTCTCTCTCTCTCTCTCTCTCTCTCTCTCTCTCTCTCTCTCTCCTCTCTCTCTCTCTCTAATATATATATATGAGTTTTCTAACGGTACAGTGAGAAAATAAGATGTGATGCTATAACGGGGTACATTAGAGATAAACGCGCTAAGCGATAAGCCACAATACAGCTGTAAAATGTGGCATGAGATAGCAAGACAACAGCCTATATCACGGGCATATTTTGCATTGCTTTGCTGTCAATGAAAACGTTGTTGATCTAATGACGTTGTTGATCTAGTGGCGTAAAACGTTGTTGATCTAGCGAATGCCTATCTCTGTATAACAGAATGATAATGTCACGGTCAGCACCACGGAATAATATAGGAAAATCAGGTTAAAAATAGAGGGAATCAAATTACGTTATTTGTATGTTATTTTGTGCCTTAATATAGCAATGTAACGAACAAATAATAGGACGTTGGGTTTTGCTCGGCAGTGGTGCGGTGAATGAAGGTCATCATAGCACATGGTCGTCGGGTACCAGGCGTAATGGCACAGCCAACTTCGAGCAAGCTTAGTATTCAATGCGATGCCTGATCATAGGTCACTCAACATTGCACCCATGAGCCGTCACTCATCGTTACCGCTCTGCCCGCATGGTCTGGATCAATAAGATTCGTACCTCTCCAGATTTTTACGAAATTTACTCGCAGTGGACTGCTTCGACCATGAGCGATTACCCCGCAAATCCTGTTGGTGTTGGAACGATAAGTGGGACGGAGAGGGCGTAACGCCATACCCAGAAGAAAGCTAACGGGGTTGAGTAGGGATGTTCGTGCTCTTACACTTGAATAGGGATTGCTACAAAATTGGTCGCCGCTATGTTCTCAAAGAATGGCATGATTTAAGGGACGATATCGAGGTATTATAGCACGAAGTGGTCGCTGCAGCCGAAAGCCCAGTTACAAATCCAAATCAAGGTGTTACAGCGTCGCCTTTAAATTCTGTTGGCTTGTGCATTTTCCTGATCAAACTTATCATATTCTTTGTTGATGGAACAAAGGGTTGTGGTTTTTTGTTATCTTGTATTTGTTATTTTGTTATTTTGTTATTTTGTTATTTTGTTATTTTGTATTATTGTATGCATTGCATATTTTGTTATTTTGTGTTTGTGGTCATTTGAGTTCTTATATTGGACATAATATGCAATCACTCACACCATGAGGCTCTGACTTAACAGATGATCAGTTTAACACCATGGGTTCTGATTTAACAGATGATTAGTTCAACAGATTTATTGAAGGCCGGCTATTTCAGCATCAGTGGCCGTAACCAAATCACACCCAAGTCAACGGAGCTCGCGCGCGAGCACGGCCCATTGAAATCACAGTGAGGGCAGCGAGTCGGCGTGTCCAGGCGCTTTAGAACTGGATGTGCTGCTGGATGATCGGACGCCCGTAAATATGCGGACATGCCCAACTGATAAGCTTAAGAAATTTGGCGCCGCCTGGATCTGTAACACTGACGATCGCATGCCATTCACCCGCATCCGAGTGAATAGCCTCACTCCCTGCTCATGGCTAGCCAAGAACCAAGAGTCGCGATCCTCCACGGAAGGAAGATACCAAGCGAGAAGTGTCAGAGATCCAAACCTGTGTTAGTCCACGCGTAAGCAGTTCAAACGTTACAAAAACGTTGTGAAGAGTATCGCGTACAAGCCCTGCTAGACCTAGCCAATACGAACATGTACGTACCTTGCTTGCTCAAACCGACCTTAAAGGACAACCGACAGACGTGCTACGGAAGTGAAAGGCTGCGAGAAGTCCTGAAATTGGCGGGAGGATTATATCAGACTTGAAATGGCGTACCCATGTTTCTCCTGCGCTGACTGAGTACGGCCGACTATGTTGCAGAGAAAATAATTCCAGGTGCTACTGTGGCACTGATTAATGGGCTCACCTCTTCAGGAAGCGATTCTACCATTTAATGAGACCTGCTCGTACTACGTAGTCAGGTAACGAACCGCACGTCTCGGTCTTCCCCAGCACCCCTTTAACAGCCATCGCAGGCGAAAACGAAGCTCGCACACCGCTCCTTCAATTGCCGAGCAATGCGTAACTGGAACGCTAAAGATTTGACCCTCAGACTCGAGCCAAGGTGACCGGAGCGAAGTATGTGCCTGTAAAAACACGCTTTGCTTTGGCGTGTTCTTTTCTTGCCTATGCTTCAAAAGGCTCATAAGTTCTCATCCGTGTGACATGCACCCGACCGTGGAAAAACCAGTTCTCCGAAACTGTTTTAAATAAATCTGTATTTGTATTTGTATCTGTGGGGACCTAAATTGAATGTAACTATCGAGATACCCGAGAGGCGTTCCGCAGTGCAAGCAGCGCAGGTGGCCGTGCTCATCGGCAGGCCACAGAACTATATGCATCAACAACAGACGTATCCGGCGTCACTTAGAGACAATTTCCAGCACCATTTAGAGGCAAATCGACCAATCCCTGAGAGTGACCGGGTGACTGCAGTCTTGGAACAGAACTGCCGTGGGTAAGTTCAACGTTCCCTCATTGCAGACGAGGAGCGATTGCAGCTCACATGGTCCAGGCCATTGCCAGCGAACATGCCAGGAACATATCTAAGCGCCGCCTATGGCTGCCTGGTATCGCCCAGGAAATTTGCCCATCATCCTGAAGGACTGCTGTTGACCTCCGCTGTTGTGCTCGTCTGTAGTGTGCCTGGCCGGTACCTGCCATCAGTGTCGCGACCAGACCGTGATGTGGACTTCCGCTATTGTGCTCGTCTGTAGTGTGCTTGGCCGGTACCTGCCATCAGTGTCGTGACCAGACCGTGATGTGGACCTCCGCTGTTGTGCTCGCCTACAGGTGTGCTTGCCCGGTACCTACGATCAGTGTCGTGGCCAAACCGTGATCACTTTAAGTGATATTACATCCGCTGTCGGTGAGGTTTTCACGCGCCTCAAGCTGGACCACCGCGCATTTCCTGCTGCTACAGCTCATCGTTACCCAGCAGTGCCGGAGTGGATTGGAGCAAATGCATCATTTAGAAGTCGACGTAACGAAACGAAACTAAACGGATAGGCGGTAAGGAGCCCCCCCCCCAAAAAAAAGAAACGCTGTGAATAAAGCTGTATTGCACGTGAAAAAGGGTGGCACTGGCGGCCCAGTTTACCGCGTCAGCACGCGAGGTCGCCCACACAACAGGGAGCTGCATTATGGCTGGCACTGGTCATCGTTGTTCTCCCCCATCTCAGCAATTAGCCCGATCCGTGAACCAAGTGCATGCGCTTTCGTTTGCCATCACACATTTAAATGTAGAAAGCATATTTATAAACCATTATAAATGTCTCGGTTCACTGTGCCCGGGGCTAGATGAAACAGTTGAGTGCGCGCGGTGGCCGGAAAGGCAGGTGCTGATATTCGCACGATCAATCCCGGCGAAGAGGCGATCGGTGTCATTACACGGCTGAATGCTTCGCAACCAACATAACCATCAGTTCCCGTCAAAATGATGCCTACCGATACAACAAACCATCCAAGCCAGTCGCAGCCCGGCGAATATATATTCCTGGTGTCGAGAACCTTAGAAGGGTTGCGGCGTGCCGCAAAGTCACGTTTCCTAGTCTTGCACGCGTCTCAGTTTCAGTTGACCTAGGCGTAACTATGACATGTTTTTTACACTCATGTACTGCTGTAGTTTCAACCGCTTTCTGTTTCGTTCATGTTGTTATTAAAGCACACGAATAGCCTCCATAGACATTCAATCCCGACCACCAGCACTCTATAACGACCATCCCACTTGGACCAGGTCTCCAATTTGTTTAATACCGGAGGTGACAGCGCCTGCTTGTTTCAGTACATTAGTTTGTTCCGCCGGCGTGCCTCTGCAGCTTTGTCCACGTTTATCAAATCGTGCGAGGCTGTGATTTTGCGCCTTGCCTGGTGGCCCTGAGGCGTCAGCAGAACATTACGTCCATGATTCTCCGGGGTGGTCGAGGGTGAAATTACACCCATTTACAGAGCACGACCGGGCGTGCCGCCGCCCGTGCGTGGACAGCCGAGGCGTGGTCTGCCTGTCGGCAGCACACCGAGCAACACACAGGCCACGCTGAGCCGCCCACTTGGGGAGCTATTCATTCGTATGCATGCGCAAGCGGTATTTGGCAACCCACTGCCCACGTCATGAGGCATGAGGACAGGGTAGTATGGACCGGGCGTTTCAAATGACTCGGCTGCGGTTTTTGTTTCTTTGCTTCGGTTGATTTATCTCAAACGATGCTGGAGACTGCAATAAGGCCCCGTTCTAACATTGATCACGATTGCAGTGTTCGATTGAATATGTATCTAATTAGTCCGTATCACTGTGTGTTATATGCTTGAGTCTGTGATATATGAAATACCTGGTTTTTCAATGAAAACCAGGTTGCTGTAAATTATCGCGAAGTCTCACAGCTGTAAGGATAATCTGGAAACCAGCATCTTGCACACTGCAGCGGTCGGCGGCCATATCACGCAGTCATGGCAAACTCAACTTTGTAAGGTCGCAATCCGTCATTACGTTATACTCACGCTTGGGTTTAGAAAATCATATGTTTAAGCTTTATGCTTATGCTACGCCACCAGGATAAATCTGGGGCTTTGTCGGATGCATTGTGCGCACTGCGTACGCCGCGCGATGAAAGGTAAGCGTAAGCTGCACTTCAGTCTCCGGAAATAGCCTGCTCCTGACCGCGGCATGAGCAGGGCTCATAGGCCGCAAATCACAGATGTGCATGAGAAGCCTATCTGTGAACCTGTGTGTACGTACATTATTCAAATGTACCCGGTGACCATGTCCGTCTGTTAAATGATTGTTGTCCGACGGTGACCATGTGTCGAGCATGGAGTTGCTAACGCCCCGGGTCGTCCAGCCGACAGAGTAAGGGAACAGGCCTCTCTCAGGGACGCCCAGACGTTAACTTCGGTCACCATAGACCAGGGAGTAGGGAATCAGGCCTCTCTCAGGGACGCCCAGACGTTAACCCCGGTCACCATACACCAGGGAGTAGGGAATCAGGCCTCTCTCAGGGACGCCCAGACGTTAACTCCGGTCACCATACACCAGGGAGTAGGGAGTCAGGCCTCTCTCAGGGACGTCCAGACGTTAACTCCGGTCACCATACACCAGGGAGTAGGGAGTCAGGCCTCTCTCAGGGGCGTAAACACACAGGATTGCTGTGGTCTGAAACCGGTTTTACGAAAATTCGATCGCTTTTGACGGAGTCGTTTCAGGCGAAGCGCAATAACAATCAATTTTTTCCAGAAGTTGCTGGGGTCGGTGCGGTGGTTACCACCATACCACCAACGAGCGGTGGTTACCACCATGACCCTGAACCCCTCTGACCAGGTGACCAGTTCGCTGACTCGGGTCATCACTAACCTGAGCCGATGACTGGTCCTCAGTGACTCGGGCAGGGAATCCGTTGACTCGGGCCGTCACTAACCTAGGCAGATGACTCTGGTCCCCAGTGACCCAGGCAAGAAAGCTGTTGACTCAGGTCACCACTGACCTGGGGTGGGCGGCCGATAGCCCGGGTCACCACTGACCTGGGGTAGGCGGCCGATGGCTCGGGTCACCACTGACCTGGGGTGGGCGGCCGATAGCCCGGGTCACCACTGACCTGGGGTAGGCGGCCGATAGCCCGGGTCACCACTGACCTGGGGTGGGCGGCCGATAGCCCGGGTCACCACTGACCTGGGGTGGTGCGGGCCGATAGCCGGTGTCACCACTGACCTGGGGTGGGCGGCCGATAGCCCGGGTCACCACTGACCTGGGGTGGGCGGCCGATAGCCCAGGTCACCACTGACCTGGGGTAGGCGGCCGATAGCCCGGGTCACCACTGACCTGGGGTAGGCGGCCGATAGCCCGGGTCACCACTGACCTGGGGTAGGCGGCCGATAGCCCGGGTCACCACTGACCTGGGGTAGGCGGCCGATAGCCCGGGTCACCACTGACCTGGGGTAGGCGGCCGATTGCTCGGGTCACCGCTGACCTGGGGTAGGCGGCCGATGGCTCAGGTCACCACTGACCTGGGGTGGGCGGCCGATGGCTCGGGTCACCACTGACCTGGGGTGGGCGGCCGATGGCTCGGGTCACCACTGACCTGGGGTAGGGGGCCGATAGCTCGGGTCACCACTGACTTGGGGTGGGCGGCCGATTGCTCGGGTCACCGCTGACCTGGGGTAGGCGGCCGATGGCTCGGGTCACCACTGACTTGGGGTGGGCGGTCGATGGCTCGGGTCACCACTGACCTGGGGTGGGCGGTCGATGGCTCGGGTCACCACTGACCTGGGGTAGGCGGCCGATGGCTCGGGTCACCACTGACCTGGGGTGGGCGGCCGATGGCTCGGGCCACCACTGACCTGGGGTAGGCGGCCGATGGCTCGGGTCACCACTGACCTGGGGTGGGCGGGCCGATGGCTCGGGTCACCACTGACCTGGGGTGGACGGCTGATGGTTCGGGTCACCACTGACCTGGGGTGGGCGGCCGATGGCTCGGGTCACCACTGACCTGGGGTAGGCGGCCGATAGCTCGGGTCACCACTGACCTGGGGTGGGCGGCGATGGCTCGGGTCTCGCCCCTCTCGCACGGCAGCTCCGGAGTGCGCTGCGAGAACGCGGTCCTCGACGTAGCCGAAGAACGACTGTTGAGCACGCGCGGCACCTGCTTGTGCTCCCCCATTCCGGGGATGCAGCCGCCGCCGTCCCCGCAGCCGTTCAGAACAGGACCGGAGCGCGGTGACGTCATCTGAAGCATGCATCGGATTGTTTTGTCACCAGTGAAAGCCGGGGGAGAGATTCGGCCCATCTGCAGTTTTAAAGAAATGGATCTGGTCCCCCAACGTGGCGACCGGCACTGCCTTGTGATTGCTGTTTTCGCAGGCGGAATCAGTTTTGACTGGGCTCATTGGACTCGCTGACTAACGGTACATTGTGCTCATATCAACTGCTATCCTAAATGGCTCGACCTGAATCGTGGTCGACTGAGATTCCAATTAAAAGGAGATACACCTTGATACCAGCTTTAATTCAGATGGGGTCCATTACTGCCAAGAATAAAGACCGTTCCGAATTGGCTACAAGAGCAGGCAGCACAGTACACGGGTTCTGCCTGTCGTCGAGATGACGATGTATATGCATCTAACATTTATGAGCCGACTTATCTACGTTTGCACTCGACCACCAAACATCTGACTGATTCCGGAGTCAGTTCCGACTTCACACGGAATCAGGCACATGTTCGCATTAGGGTTTATCAAAAGACATCGGTGGCAAGAGGAACCCGTTCCAATATTGATGCTGCGAGCATCCAGCCATAAAAAGCAGTGACGGAAGGCGCTTGTCGTATAGGATGGAGAGGGCGAGAGTGGCAAGCATGGCTTATATGGTGCACCTGGCTAAAAAAAAACACCATCGAACAAGTTACATCCTACCTACCTTGACACTGCTGCAGTACTACACACACGATGAGTAGGATTGCCGCGGATGTCTTTTGTTAAAGGCTTCATGTTTTAACGGGTGTTATACGGTTTGGTCACTCCATTTCGATCAAATATGGAAAACTGCACGCTACCGGTGCACACAGGTAGGACTAGCCTACCGAGCCCAATAACGCACCAGACCTCTCCGAAAGATCTTGAATCATTCCAACACGACATGCCGCGGTAAGCCAGATTACACAGTGCCACCAATTACCCTAAGCCAGTGTGCTCGCTCAGCGCACTTCCCGAACGTGACAAACAATGCTCACCTTTTCTGCGTCGGTCGAGACCGGATCACCGTGACCAACCTAATGGGACCAGGTCTGCCTATGAAATGCGCCTCGGCCGTAGCCGCGCCGAGGCGCTCGGCAGCCGCGAGCTCGTGGGAGCTTCCGGTGACGTCACGGCCGGCTCGGCGCCGTCCAGCGGCCGCCGATCTCAGGCGGCGGCCGGACGATGCGTGGAGAGCAGCGAGGGCCGCTTCTCACGGCAGATCAGAGCGGCCAACCGCAGACCGCTCTCCGGCGCGACACGGCGGCTGACGCTCCCTGGCGGCCGGCACGGGCCGCCGGACGCCGTCAGTCGAGTGGCGGTCAGCGCTGCCGGCGGAGCCCTTCTCGTTGAAGACGGTTCCCGTGTAGTGGGATGACAGTGGCCATATAGTTCCATACCCCCCCCCCCCCCCCCCCCCGAACCATCTGCATGGGAGCTGTCGAGATCCTCGGCCTTGCTGTGCTCGGATCGTCGGGTAATCGGTCCGTTACTCACTGCCCGCGCTGTGACCGCCATCACGCGGGGGGCGGGTCACTGAACTGCCGCGGATGACACACTCGCGCTGAGAGGTACGGTCGCTACTCTAGTTCGGCCACATATGTTGTGATCGGTACACCCATAATGCGGTGACCGTCACCCCGCTGCGCCTCCCTAGCTAGTGTCATTTTACGTCGTCCCAGCGAGCGGCTATTATAGATCTCATTCGTTGAAGCGTGACGCGGGAACTACGTCGGCTCCGTTCGACCCCCGTAGGCAATAAATAAATCCACATGCTTCCGCGACCAGTGATAATGGAAGCTGTTTTGGTATTGTGAGCCCCGAAAGGACACAAAGCGGAGGTCACAAGCCATCTTTCCTTAAGTCCCGTACGCATTTCACGAAATCGAACTTAATCCACGTTCTCAGTTCACGATACATATATCCCGTACACACCATTTTCAAGGTTCATCATCCCTCACACACAGTTTGCCAAGGTCGCAGTTCATCATCCCTTCCACACCAGTGCAAGGTTCATCATCCCTTCCACACCAGTTGCAAGGTTCATCATCCCTTCCACACCCTCACCTCGGTATCATGGTATGCTAAGTTCATGGCGTGAAATGCAAACATGGGAAGGCGCCACTCGGCTGAGCGGTCGTGTACATAAATTTGGCCACGAGCACCACCGAGGTTGTACCATGTTTGCACCGATACAAGACGCATTTTTTAAAGATTGCTTGTTGGAGCAGGTGCAACCATTACTGTTACTGTGTAAAATTAGGAATATCTGAGCCGCGACGGCGTCCCCACTGTGAGCAAACGTCACTCTAGATCACTGAAACCAGTCACTGACCACCAGGCCAACGTCCTGGGCGGAAGGTATGGTGCGGCCGAGTTTGAAGGTAGCTTGCGGCCGGCACACTAAAGCTTCAGGCAGACTGATGAGGCAGAAGAAACGTTGCAAAGACCCCGGTATGCTCGCCAATTAAAAGAGT